AATGTTTCTTCTCGTCATCCCAGGTCTTATATGGGCTTTGAATTTGTTCAGTTCGGTCTCATATACTTATTTTTAGCTTATCTTTATATCTCCTCTGATCTTCTTGCGTTAAAGTGCTTATATACAGTGCTATTCGCCCACTGAGTCTTTTAAAAGTACTCTCAAATCCATGCTTTAGTATGCGCCGCTCTGTCTTCTTGCCACACAGCGAGGGGCGCATGCGCACGGGCGTGTAAACAAAGATCCTTCTATAGAGAGCTGGGATGGACTAGTTTGGGCTCTTGGTCAGTGTCAACTCTCTATGCAACATGTAGCAGCCTAATACTGAAGTCCAGGGGCTCCAGGGTTCTCTCCAACCATCTCTCTTTGGGGTATGATATTTTCTGTTAAGTCTCTGTGTATCAGTGTCATTAAATGTCCTCTTTTATATCTATTGGTTTGGGCCTAGTATGTACAGCAACGATTATATTTTCATGATAACATTAGCGAATCGACAACTTTGGGAAGTCCACAAAGATGACTGCTGTTGTGATAGATAAATAGATAATTAGATACTTTACTGACCCCCTTAGAATAAATTCAGATGTCCAGCAGCAGAAAACACATCCATATAAACACATAAGTACACCAATAATAAACATTGATTCGGGGTTAAAAAAAAATAAACTGATTTGAATTGAATGCTGTCTTTAAAGGGCCCATATCACGGTTTTTAACTTTTCTCTGCTTTAAACATAATTACAATGCTATTTGGCCTTCATACACATGCCCACAGTAGTTTATTCATTGATTCTGTCAATCTTTTGTAAGAGAGCCATCTGTCTCCTTCCCCAGTGTGAGGCACAGAAACGCTCGGGTCCACTTCAGTGACGAAAACCACACTGATGACGCGCATGACGCGCATGAACCCGTTTGCTTTGTATTTAAAATAGTTGTTAAATACTTTTGTCAAAACGGGGTAAACAATACACAATTAGTATGCTGTTTTTTGTCAAAAATAATAAAAATAAATTAAAAGCCGGCGGGAGGTGATTGACGGATCAAAACAGCGAATCAGAGCGCACAGGCTCCGGCTCCCGAGTCCAGCGTCTGTGGTCTGGTCTCGCGGACACCACATAGAGCTTCTGTTTTTATGCTTTTGTCAGCAACTAAAAGTGTTAGGATCACGTCAACTTGAATGAAGTGTGTTATGGGTGTAAATATGTGACACACTATTTGGCCCTAAGAGGAAGAAAGCGGCTCGACTTTTTTCATCTGTTCATCTCATGGATCTATTATAAACCGGTTAATCTGCGACACTTCACTGAGACTGTTCCAGAACTACAGGGACAATGGAACTGGACTTACTCAAAAGCTGATCTGGAAACAACGTTATTCCCACGATAAAAGACGTAACACGGACCAGCGAGTTAGTAGTGACACTAACTCGCTGTATACTTCTGTAAACTAAATAACTAGGGTCTGATTGTGCATCGAGGACATAGGGCTCGATGTGACGGATTGTCATTGCTGGAAAAAGTTTATTCTTATGTATGAAATTACTAAGTACAGGTGATAAACGACAAAAGCGTGATGCTACGTCACCGTGCGGGCGGGGGGAGGCGGGCTCACAGGCAGAGGAGCAGACTCTTCTCTGGATCAGCTCGTTTGAGTCGAGGTGACGTCACTTCTATACAAGAGATGGCTCTAATCTCACAAGCTTTGATTGTTGTGTGGTGTATCATACACATTAATATCACACATGTGCATAGGATTGAGTGTGAAACATGAAGAAAAGCGTGATATAGGACCTTTAAGGCTATAGTAAATTAACATTCTTGACCCAATAAATGAAAAAGATAATGCTCCACCTCTGCTGCTGTGACCCATCCTGCTCCACCCAGAGGCTACTCCATCTCTGCTGCTGTGGCCCGAAGGGCTGTTGTTGATGATTACTATTGTTATCTTTTTAGAATGATCAATTTTATTTTATATTTTTGCTGCTACTGCTGGACACCTGAATCTCTCTCTCTCTCTCTCTCTCTCTCTCTCTCTGGAAACAATTAATTCAGTGCTTTCTCACGAAGAAAGAAATATGTGATGCTAGCAGAGGCAATCTCGCCACTGAAATCTAAACAGACGACAAATCGGCTCTTCACGTGGCAATAACTTGGGATTGAATCATTTTCCAGGTTGTGCAGCAATAAAGGCTCTGTTGTGGCCAAGGAAATTCTCATTTTTATAAGAAGGCATAAACAAGAAGATGAAAGAAAAAAATACCGTATGTTCTCTTATTTGAACCTGTCCTTGCCAAGATCAGGTCACATTATTTGCATCGAATTTGCAACTTTCCAAAACCCTCTTCTGTTCCAGGAAACAAACAGATGACTTGTTTTGCAGTTTGTGATAATGAACGGACCACACAATTTTCTCTTCTAACTTCCTTCACTGAGTCAGGTCGGAAAACCACAGGCCGACCTCACCTCCCAGGAGCGGACTCGAGTTACTCCAGAGCATAAATCGTTCAACGTTTTGGAAAAAAGTTTAAGTATGGTGTGACATAAACGCCAAGTACTAGACGTCTTTTCCACTAGAGATCTTCTAACCTGGACGGCTACATCACTATTACAGGATTAGGTCTTTGAGTTTCCATGAACGCTCAGGAGGAGTCTTTTAGGGTCACATGTGAGATTGATTCTGGAAAAATCCATTGATATGAATTTTTTGACTGACTTGTAATGTAGAAGTAGTGGTAGTAGTAGTAGTAATTATTTGTTATTTATTTAAACTTATCAGGCTTCAACCCCTCTCACTCATTCACACAACACAAAACACACGTACACTCGACTATACCCGTTTTAATTTCTTTGACTTGACTGGTGATGTGTGCAAAATGTATTCAGATTCAGATTCAGATTCATTTATTTGCCATTTGCAGTAAAACCACATTGGAAAACTGTGCAAGACTACCCCGGTGTGCGCCAGGCCACTATGTTAAGGCTCCAAGCAAACTTCCATACAAGTGACATTCTGATTTGCAGGAATTTTCTCTTGGCACCCACAAATCAATAAAGAAATGATCCAATATCCCTGTCAGTAAGTGCTAACAATATGTCCTAGTTGCATCTATACTGACTGTGTAATGATTTCTATGATTGAGATCTACAATTTTCTTGGATATTATCAAATTTTTGGTACAGGAAGTCAAAAAATATGTGGAGATAGAATTGAAAGGTTGAAAGGTGCATTTGGTGCCATCTCTGGCTATGAGGAAAGTTACCAATCTTTAAGTAATATAAGAAACTGTAGGTTGAACAGTAACAGTGGCAAACTGCCGTGTCGATAGGCAAGACACTTCCCCATTACTTAGTATAAGTTTGGTGATGGTCAAAGGCACCAATGGCACATACTGGTTGCCTTGCTTCTGTCTACCTGGTAGCTATGGCTACTGCAGTAGTTTATCATATAGCGTATGGTGTGAACGAATAAGGCCATGTGAAGCGTCTTGGAGGGCCCAAAATATATATTATTGTTATTATCTATTGAAATATATGTGGGATAATTATTCTCTTTGACATATAATCAATTCATTCCAACTAGACTCAACCCCTATTCATTTGATTAAAAGCAATACTTAATATTTCAAGTTAAAGCTAATATTTTCCACTCTTTCATATGTCATAGCTGGAGCAGGATTCCCTTGCTCCGTTGACAGCACGAGACCTGACCAGTTTCTTTCCTGCTTGGCATTCCTGAAAACCACATGTTGTTTAGACTTAAAGCAGTGGATAATGGTTCCCTCGGGGAGACGGCTCGAGTTACGCAGGACTGAAACACGTCATTTTACCGCCTGGTTAGGTCACAGCCCCGCGGCCTTTCAATCACTTTAATGTGGAAGAGACACTCGTTTTTATAATCATGCATTTTATCTCTGCTTGTCTGTCTTAAGGCAGAGAGCAATAGACCACAAATGAAAGGGTCAATGAATACCTATAAAGTAAACAATGAGGCTAATGGATTTTTAAAAGGAGAGGAGGAGGTTGTGTCTACATACGTCTGTGGTTTATAGACTGTGATTCAGGTACTCCAAGTAATTTATGTATCATTTTTCATGAAGAATAGACATAGCTTAGTGAATCAGTTTTACCCTTTTTGCATTGATCGACGACTTCTCAAAAACAAATAATAGCCCTCGTAAAGAAGAAAAGGAATTGAGAATAAAACATCAACAAAACAGACATTGCGAAAAGAAAAATGCCCAGTACTCTGTGTAATAGGCTCCTAAGCAACACAACTTCTGAATGAGAAAATTGTATGGAATGCATATGAGAGGATTCGGAGACACACTGTTTTTCTGCCTGCTATTGTGATCATCTATGACACTTATGGCTCATTAACCAATATTTTGTCCATTCAAAATCTCAATAATGATTTAAAACTATTTCATGTACGAGGTTAAGAATCAAGGCTGCAAACTTGCCCTTTTTACGCGACACAAGTTGGCGATCAGAGAGCCTCATTTATCAAGCATTTTCTCACGTGGAAAAGTGATTAGCAAACTGATTTATCACACACATGATACCTACAGAACTAAGCCTGGGGAATTACACAGTTCCTGCGATGATAAATAAGGCCCAAGGTCTTTACTTTGTGTGCAACGCTGCCGAATCATCCCCATTTTATAGAGATTCAAACAAGAAAATAGGTGACCGAAGTGGGTGTGTCATGGCTGCAGTAGTCAGAGAAGCCAAGAAGAAGCAAAGACACCTTTCAGAAAATCATTTGAAAGAACATGCTGGGATCCCGGCCCTTTTGACAATCTGTGAAGTCTCCTTGTTGACATACTTCTGAAAGTTGGTCAATCAAAACCACCTCCACGCCAGACTTTCTGCATGAGTTGCGGCGAGACAACATCACATGGCCCAATAACCCTTGACTATTTATTGTTCGAATCCAACAGCTATTACAGCCGATGGGGCATGCAGTCATAAATATGGGTAACATAAATGCCAAGTACTTACATTTTTGGTGGACAGGGCGAAAGTGGCGCGACTGGAGAAGCGCGTGGTGGATGGACTGCTGCTGGATAAGAGGCCGGTGACCATCGCGGAGACTCTGGATCCCATCGGGGGGCTACAGGAGGTGGGAGTGGGGGAGCTGAGAGTGCTGTCGGATGCCTGGATATCAGCTTGGCCTTTCCCATAAAAGATCTCCGTCACTTCTTCATGGCTCTCCTCATGAATGCCGTTGAGTTTTGAGCTGTGGTTGTTGATTTTGCTCATTCTGCCATCCGCATTGTCACTCGCCCTGCTCATGAGAAGCTCCACTTGTCGGGTCAAAACCTCCAGCTGGTTCTTGAGTTGCTGGTTCTCCTCCTGGAGTTGGGACACTGCTTTGCTCAAAGGCGCGCTCTGTTGGGACGTCTCCTCCAAACGCCGCTCCATGCCGATCTTGAAGGCGCTCACATCCACGTGGATCTCCCGGATGGCGTCGCGGAGAGTGCTTTCGTAGCGAGACAAGGCGGCACACACGGTCTCGCCCTCCGGGGAGCAGGGCCGAGGGTGGCAGTAGTCGGACACTTCTAACAAAGTCTCCATCTCTGCAGAGGAGTTTGGGAGAGGACCAGTCAACGACACACGGGATGAGGTTTGGAGGGAGGTCAGAGGTTTTCTGTGAGACACCTGAAAACGCAAATAGTAGAGAAATGAGTTAGTTTTTTCAAGAATTCTATGTAAAACAGACAAAAGGTGCAGCCCTGAAGCTTTGCAAGTGATAGAGGACTACAAACAGTAACAGAAATAAACAAAAGAAGGAAAACTTTTGGGAAATGTTGGTGGGAAGCAGGTAGCTGTATAGAAGGTGTACTGGAAACAGAAGTCCATTACTTTTCTAACAGGGCTAATACAAACCTTTGCTATTTGATTATTATTTGAGTAATTGCTTAACACAAAAGGTTTGAAAATATGAGATTTTGTCACCACAATTAATTACTAATGTAAAAGCATAGTTTTGCAACATATGCATGGACTAAATAGTGCAAAAGAATAGACAAAAGAGTCTCCATATCTCTGCAGTATTTAAGACGTCCATATGAAATGAGTGAAAACACATTTTTATGCAGCTCTGTCCAACATAGAGGTTAATGATTGAAAATGACATCTGCTTTTATGGCACAGTGCTTCTCGTTTAAAATGGTGACTCTGCATCCAGCTCGGCTTTGTGAAGATGTGAGGTTTTATGTTGTTAATAACAAGCCTCTTAATAACTATGATAATAATAACAACAATAATCCATTGGTTTTATAAAGCTCTTTTCGTTTCACTCAAAGACAAGGCAATATTCCTTCACTCTGTATACAGCGGTTGCAAATTACTGCATTAGTCACTGTCGCCCTGGGGCTCTTTGACAGAAGTGAGGCTACTGACAGAAGTGAGTCTACTAATTTGTGTCATCGGCCTCTCTGACTCCCACCGTCATTCACAGACTCGCAAGACTCATACGAGACAAGATTTGTGAATGACAGTTTGCAGCAGCCGTCCCACTGTGGCACCTGGTGTTCCCAGAGGTCTCCCATCACAGTACTAACCAGGCCCTGCCCCGCTTTTACACGCAGGTCTGGTCTTCTCATTACTACACAGATATGATCGGTAATATGTTCTATTGTGTCACTTGCTCTTTGACATATACGTTTAAGGTTCTCATTGGAAAATTCTTGGTCAAAGAAAAATCCGAGAAATCCTATAGGCACATCATTTATACCTATTTATACTTTTGTATGACTTTTGCTGTTCAAACATGTTTCAGTACAATAAAACTGGGAGTATATGACCTCCAGAATGAGTGTTCATGATTACAATCAAGACCATTATCCAATCCCATTACACCTTTTTAGCAGCAGTCAAATATTTAAAGTGGTCAGACCAGTGCAAATCAAGCCTTTTGCACCACTACGTTCTTCTTGTGGACACAGGTAATGTAGCCAAGAAACTATTGGCCTTAGGCTGCCCCATATCAGCGACACCCTGCCATTTATAACAATACAGGTGAATGGACAGAAACAGGAGCTAACCCTCTTCCACCACTGCACTATTTCTGTGTAAGAAAAAGAAAATATTTTTTTTATAGCAACAGTAAAAGGAAAGTTATATTGTCTAGTCACAGTAAGAAATAATATATACAGTATTGATATGTATGGATGATAGACCAAGGATAATGGCAAGCAGCACAGAGAAATATAGAAAAAACTCAAAAAAATCTTTAAGTAATATAGCAATCACAATATAGCAGAAAAAAATCCCAGTTTTTTCATACATACTGCTGAACTAAAACATTGCAATAGCTGATTTAAGAACACATCAAGACTTATTCCACTCATATGCAGCTAAAATGTCATCATATTAAAAAAGAAAATATCTATATTACATGTAAAAAGGCACAGACAGTAAATAGGGAGTACCAAGATGTATCAATATGAACAAACAGTTGATGCTAATAATTGAGACCATTGTACAACAGTATAAAAAATCTATCAAATCAAAAGCCACACTTGAATCCAGATTTGCACCTTGACCAAAACAATACAAACTTTCCATTCAAAAACAGCTGAATTCAAGTCAAATGAAACAGGAAACGTTAGTAAAAGTTGTCAAAGCTGTACCTCTAGTGTTGTGTAGAGTTTTGCGGTCCTGTTAGATCAGCTGTCTGCTCTCTTTCCTCTGTGTGTGCGCTTTGCCGGTGCTGGTTTGTTTAACTGCCAGGTCCTTGTCAGACTGAGGGAGGAGGAGACCAGGAGACCAGGAGGAGCTTATGGGAGGCTGTAGTAAACTGAAGGGAGGTGGCCCCGCAGTGCACTTTTGATCCTGTCTAAACTCTTGGCAGCTGGAGTCCTTCTTTGGGACAATTTTACTGCTCCCTTTCCACTATTTGTCAACAGGATAGTTTTAGCCGATGAAAATATGTTGCCAAATATAACTTGATATGTTGGCGTTTTAACTTCTTTTCTCATAGGAAGACTATTGCTTATTTGCTCAGCCCAAAATTTTTTTGACGTTGTGTAAATGGGAACTTTTTATTTGACTCACAGAACTCTTTCTTACACGTTCTAATACAAGGAAGACACACAAACAACATGTGACATTATCAAAAAAAAGTGTATAAATGATAGACACACTGCAAAAATTGATACATTTTTATCTTACTTTGAGTACATTCTGGGTGTCTTAAAACAAGATTTTCAAATGGGACGAAGCCGTTTAGTCTTCTTTCAAAATTTTAAACATTGTGACATATTTATCATCACTTCATGTTGTGTAAATTTAATTAATTCTGTCTTAGTTTGAGTAGATGTAGTGACTGCAGAAGACCCCTGTCCCCTGTCCTCCCGGGAACTACAACCCAAACGGAGCCACATTCTTGGGCAGATAACGCTGGCACATTCCTCCCCCTGCTTTCTGTTCGGTCAACAATGAGAGAACCCAAACCTCACCGGTCTCCCAGGTCTTGAGAGCACCCAAACTGCACCGGTCTCTCTCTCAGGCTCATATACGGGAAGTCTTGCCCCCCAGCCTGTCTGCTCCCCTGTCTGACCCTTCACTCTCTCCCCGGCAAAGTTTACATCTGCGCAATTGCGGTGACAAACATCTAGTTGTAATTTTTCTGTCAAGGATTTAGAACTATTTGGAGTTGAGCAAGGTCCACAGTGCATTGAAAACACATGATGAGAGACTAAAGTATGATCTCAAGCTACTAGAATTGCTTTAATTTCAAAATGTTTACAGCAGTTTCACAAAATGTTCCTAGATGAGTTTCTGATTTTTGCTTAGGTCCATCTAAAATGTTTTGTATCGTCTTGATTCTGTCTATGAGCCATTTTGACATTGGAGATTGGCTAAAGGGAAAGAGAGCGAGGAGAGCCAACCCAATGTAAGATTTCAGGTTTTTGAGCTGAAAAAAAAACTTAATGGTCATATATTATAAACATAATGAGGCAAAGGTTAAGGCCAATCAAAGTAATATCATCTCCACAGCAACAAGCAGGTTACAGAAATACTTAAATTCAGATTCCGTTCGTACCAGACAGCTAAAGAAATCGTCAATGAAGCAAAACTGTTGGTGATTTGTGAATGAAGCCTGTTGAAGTTCAGTGGGACACAAATGTTGCAATTAATCCACATTAGAGGGAGTGGGCGGGAGCTTTTTTATCATTCAAATAAGGTTTCATTTAGAGCAGAGAGAAAAATAGAAGTCCTTTAATGTTTTAATGGTGGGACATACTGACCCATTCCTTCAGGTTCAATTTAATTTCATGTATAAGTGAATTTGACTGGGACAGTGTACATTAATGAACATTACTGTAAATGCAAGAGTTATCCTCAAACTATTTTACATTTATTGCTCCTGGACTGATGTTGGAAAATGATCAACCTTAAAGCAATGAAATTAAATAAGAATAGTGAACTAGTACAATAAACTACAGTAGTCAATAACAGAGACGAATACAGAATAACCACAATCAACAACAATGTTAGTTGTTAATAATAGTAATCACCATTGGACTACAGAAAAGGGGCAAAAAAAAATTATACATACATTACAGGATATGCTTTATGTTTTCATATGTGTTCTAATGACCTGTTTTTTAATTGTTATATTTCAACTAACTTTACTGAACATCTATGTATATTGTTTGTATTATAATGTTATGGGTTTTTTGCTTGCATTTTACTCCTTACCTTTAGGGCCTACAGTCGGAAACTAGTTAAAACTGCCTCATTTACTGTTGTGTTGATTCATGTATTTTCTCCCTATTCAATTAAACTAATGCAAAAAGAATACAATACAAATACAATACAACTAATACAAATTTCCACGTCTCTTGCGCACCTGTCGTCCACATGTGTGAGAGCTGGCTATTTTTTAAGATTTGTGAATTGCGACCACTTCCATTCTGTTTGTGACGCAGCTGCATTTCTCTGTGTTTTACGACAGTCTGCAGGGGGCGGGCGGCACGGCTGTAAAACTCTGAGGAGGTCGAAGGTGACGGGGTCTGTGTCGTCTTGTGAACGCTTAAAAGATAAGAGAAACACGTCTTCCTGAGCTTTAAAATCACTTCTTACCCGCTTCTGAAGGACACGGGAAATAACGGGGAATGACTACGTGTTTTGCTGCACCTCAAAGACAGATCAATTGTGTAAACTTCTCTATTGTAAGATCTATAAAGTTTATCTAAAATGTTCTTTCAAAATCAATAAACTACATTTCAGGGATACAGGTTTTGTAGCTATGAGTATATTGTTTCCCATTGAGTGCCTTTTCATGTTATGTTAAAAAAGATTGCCCCTTCAAAAACAGTGGCCAATGCGGTACTTTCACAGTGTCATCCAGCCAACTTCAGCTCCACCAATGTTGTGCTGTACCTTGTTGTCAAGCTCAGAACATTTGGAATCCAGCCGTTAACGTTATTTGTATATATTTAATATTTTTTTATTGTGTTGTAAAATTCCCCATATGTAGCTGTGGTGTGAATCAACATGGACATTTATATACCTAATTTTAAAGCCAAGAATAGTCAGAATCCAGTAAAAACCATTAATTAAACTGGTCAACCAAAGTGGCCTTCTTACTAAAACGTTTGGACACTCCTAGTTTTATCCATTGTTGCTCACTCAAAACATGACAAAAGACGTATTATTAAGTATTTAATTCAAAGCTGTTGTTGTAAGATGAGACTTTCCTGTAGAAGACCATCCATTAAATCTGATGTCAACAAAAGAATTGATATTCTGACCATATGACCCCGTGCTATCAACCTTATCAAGAGTGCTTTATTTCAAAAAGTCCCCTCTCTGGGCAAAATCTCGACCAGTAATATTTGCTGGAGGAGAATAGTTTGACCAATGGCGAGGATTGGAATTGATATCGTCCAATCAGGAAGCTGTGAGGGTGATATTATAGAGACTTTATTTATAGAGACACCAAAGAACGTAAAATTATCCTTTTCAATTAAGGCCCAGAAGACAAAGCAAATACAAGGTCCCAGGACGGCTCCCGAGTCCATGTTTCCCGGCCGGTGAGTCAGCAGTTACTGTATGTCCGGTGTATGAAGTAGGCTGTTGTTTTAAGAATGAGCACATGTGTTTTCTCTCACTGGCTCTCGAGCCCCCGGCACATGGTGGAAGTGTCCGGGCCGATCAGTGAGAAGGAGATAAAACCACCGCTCTCTCTGCGCTGCAGCCGGGAAGCGGTGATATGACAAGACATTCCAAACACACTACAAACTCGAGAGAACATGAGCTCATAACGGTGGAGTCAGAACGTCACTGACAAGAAGCGTTGGAAACTGGTCAGGGAATTCTCCAGGTAAGGCTTTCAAGGAATATGTATAACACTGGTGGTACTTTCCACTGCAGTTCGTGTGGAATCCAAGTGTCCAAGTCAAACATAGATTATACCAAAATAGTACAAAAAAGACCAAAATAGACTGAAAACACACCCATAGTACCTGTGCATTATTCACTAAGTTACATGTAAGTCTGTTAGGGCACCATCTGATGTGAAAGCCTGATCCTATCAAACCTCAGATGATAAGAAGGGCAGGCCATGGTTTGTACTGTGATGGGAGACCTCTGGAAACACCTGGTGCAACGGTGGAGCAGCTGAGGCTCTAAAATGCTAAAGTATCATTTTTGTGACTTTCATCCACATTGCTATGAGTGTGTGTGTTTGTGCGTGTGAATGGTTGGAGGTGGTCGGTAAACAAGATTGGTCATTTTGACAAATATTTGTTTAATTCCATCCGTTTTCTTCCAAATGATCCAGAGTAGACATGTTCAGACTTCGCACACCTCTATGTGGGTCTCTTGAGGCCCAAGTCGGCTAAGAAACACAGACCCTGGGTGCGTGTCCTGGGTCTTTCCCCGAGGAGCTTTTTCTTTCAACTTGTGTTTATTTCTGTATTAACTGTAATATGTTCAATATTCTAGTCTAATTATCATCACACTAGCAGCTTTCTTTGTTGATATGATCCACAATGTAATGTAAATTGGATGACAAGATTAGTATCATTATTATTATTATTAATATATCTTCCCATGGCAGAGCAGGGTTCAATTCCACCTCTAGGCCTTTTCTGTGTGGAGTTTGCATGTTCTCCCCATGTCTGCATATATACTGTAGGTTTCCTCTGGGTGCTCCTGTCTCCCCTACCACTTAAAACACGTACAATGGCTCTAAAAGTAATGAGCTAGTGTAATCGGCGTCTTGCTTCCTTCATCACCGTGCGTGGAGAGAATGGAAAAATATCTGAACATTGCAAATCTCCTTGGTCAGTAAAATTGCGACATATAAATAAACATTACATGATACTTACTTACAAAAAACAACCCAGTTTCACGTTTTTACCTCAGTGTTACAGATTTCCTTTTCATCAATACCATTTCATACGCAGCTCGTTTCTTTACACAAACTCATGACGTAAGTGACACAATTCAAAACCCAAAACACACACAGAGTTTGTTTTGTGGTTCGCAGTTTGTCAGGTCACACTTCCAAATTTCACCAACGTGCTGCCAAACTAAAACACAGCACTTCATCAAACCCAAATACAAATAGTAGGATTCATTCACTCAAAGGTCAAGGAAAAATATAGTTAGTGAAAATGTTTAGTATATTTTGAAATTCCACAAGACATAGACGTGAGGGGGCCTTTGTATATATGACAGGGAGCACATGGGTACAGCAGGCCAGGAACTAAAAAGTGCTCATTAGGATATAATCAAACTCCCTGGTAACTAAAAACCGACTTCGACTTCACTTATAAAACACCTCTACTACAGGACAAGGCAAGGCAAGTTTATTTAGATAGCGCTATTCATACAAGGCAACTCCAAAGTGAGTAACTAAATGAGCTAGAACAATAGATAAGATAAGAGCTCCTTTATTCGTCCCACAGTGGGGAAATTTCGTTGTTGCAGCGCACAGACAGGACAGTAGTAAGAGCACACAGGGAGCACACACAATATATACAAAATAAGTAGTAGCTCTGTTTCTTAACTAGCATAAATGGCTGTAGATGCTGGAAATGCTTCAATACCAGTCAAAAAATATATACATGTAGTAGTGCAGAGTTTTGTACTGTACATATAGTGCAGGATAATAAGTAGATAAGTGAAGTGACATTGTTCAGTGGATATTCTGAAGTTGCAGTATTGCAGCGAATTGCACATGATTTAAGAATTTACTTATTTACAGATGAATGAAATTTACAGGCTCAGCAGTTCTCATTGTACAGTCTGACAGCAGCAGGAAGGAAAGACCCACGGAACCTCTCCTTCACACAGCGAGGGTGAATCAGTCTGTCACTGAAGCTCTGAATTAGTCTGTCACTGAATCATATCAAGTTTTTACTCTCTGGCTTTTAACACTGCTTGAGTTGTGTGGTCCTCTGTTTTATATGTTTTATTAATTTTATTGTTTTTGGTTTTGTTTTAATTTTTAGCACAATTCATACACAAGGCCACTCATCATTTAAATCAGAAATAATCACAGTACATTAAAAAGAAAGATACAAATATAAAATCCCTTAGTTGTCTGCAGCTAAACAAAATTGTTTTTAACCTGGATTTAAACATTGTCAGAGAAGAAGCCTGTCTAGTCCATGCCTGAAAGCATTATTCAATATTTAGTTTTTTCAGTTTTTGCATCGAAACAAAAAATCAAATATCAAGCCAAGTTTTTCCTTGTCCTTATCAAAATGAAAAATTGAAACTCAAACCATTTTTAGATACCTGAAATGCTCTCTCCTCATGTTTAGTCCTGACTCTGGGCACCAGGAGTCCCGTCCCTGTGCTCCTCAGAGTCCGGACTGGTTCATATGGGACTAACATGTCAAAAAGGTTTCAGAGCAGCTGCTGTTTCTACACATTCTTATTCTGGTTCAGTATTTGATAAACCGTGCGCATGATGGTGATTCGAGAAAGACTTTTATATAGTTTATAATCAAGACGCTAATTATAGGTGAAGGATATGAACCGACTCCAAATGTAAAGAGACAGATGCCAAACCACAGCCCTCTGCGGTCTCTTTAATTCTGGCTGATTATAGCGTTAGCCCCGTGTTTTGGGGAGGGGTACCGGCTTTACCCCTTTCTCACAAAGACTTCCTCAAATCTACAAAAACTGTTCCCACACGCCTGGCCGAGACGCAGATTGCAAGTATTTGGTTTTAGTGATGATTGTGGCCCTGGATAAATGTTTGGCCAAACTTTTGTAACTCGCTCACTAACAAGATCATAATTGTAGAGTTTAAAGTTCTATGTTTTTCTTTTAGTCGCCGACCAGCAAAAGGTTATCAAAGAGCCCGGGACGTTTTTGCAGTCTGTAAGCCAGGGGTCTCCAAATCTTGTTCAATCAGAGAGCTACTTTTATGCAGCAAAAGATGCAGAGAACTACTTTTATTTTCAGTTGTGATAAAAATCTCGGTTATAATGACAAAAGATCCCATAATACTGCTAAGACCATTCATTCAGATCATGTGTTAAATTCTAAATCCTAAAAAGAAGAAATATGATGCATTACTTTTTGTCAATTCATAATAATAATGAGGCATAATAATAAGAATAATGAGACACTTTCATTAACTCCACAATTCATAATTGTGATGTGATTGTAATGGTTTCTAAGTAACATGTCTATTATAGAGATCGTCTCTTGAATGTATTGAAGTTAACTGTTCTTTTAATACACTGTGTGATGAAACAATTTCTCAATAATTAACATGAATAAATATATTAGTTCCAGAGGGATAAAAAAAGAGGAGAGTTGTCTTAAAAATTCAAGTAAAATAACTTTTAAATATGAAACATGAAAAGAAACCTCAATTAAAGCTAATATAAAATGAGACTGTCCCTGAAACAAAAACGAAAAAAGTAAAAGGTGATTAGAATGTAGATCGACTGTGGAGGCTTGCACAGTCTGCTGCAAAGATAATTTGAGAGGAATTTACAGAGGTATTATCAGTTCAAACTTGCTATGGCAACTTATGTAAGCAAACAGTGGCTGCGCAGGAGACAGACCGATGCAGGACAAACAAAACAACTTTCAGATGGAACGTATACATCTCTTAAATAGTCTTTTTTGTGAATAGGCACTTCAGGACTTCAGGACTTCAATGAGCTGATCACACCTTCAGACATATTGGTCAGTTTGGTCCATCTATGAACTAACTGCTTTTATGTGGAAACGACAAAATTCCTTTTTTCGGCCGATGTTAATCAAATTGTTACTCAAATATTACAGTTGATATAAGACGATTTCAAATTTTTTGCAATTGCATGAGAGGACCATTGAACATGCCACTGTGATTGTAGGTCCAAACTTTGTCCAGTGAGGGTAGACTTCTAGACGTAGACCAAGTGGAGGTCCCTACCCATCCTTTCTTATGGCATTAAAGCCAGATAACTTTTGTTTCATAAATAATACTTGTTGGTCCCAAAAGAAAGTGTCTTGTAAAAGAAAAAAAAGATGTTAGACCAAATCAGACCACAACACTGTATCTTTGTCCTAAAAAGCATGTTAAAACATGTTATATTTTGCATACTTAAGCCCTAATGTTGTGGTTGTAAAGTCAGGTACCCCAGCTTTATATCACCAAGAAGTTTACTATTAATATAATATAGTAGAATATGTATCATGATTAACTTATATGAGGTAATATTTGGGCCAAGAAAAAATCATCAAAGGGCCACATTTTGCTCTTGGGCCGTGGTTTGGACATCTCTTGTTTACTGGATCTTTTTACTTTTTGATATTTTCCTCATTTAAAAGTTGCCTGTTGATTTGATTTCATTATTTGTCACAGACTGCGCACATTCACGTACATATCCCAGGTTTGTATTCTTTTTTGGACTCTGGCACCGCTCCAGATTTGTGCCCATTTACTCCCTGTTCCTGCACGTATTTCAACTCCGTACTCCAGCCCCGTGTGTGTGCGTGTGTGAAAAGGCTTCAACAACACGTCCGCTAACATCAACATCAACATCAGCATCGCGTCCGAGCCATGACATCAGAGTTTCCATGGAGACGCAGGGGCCCCAAACATTGCCACGGAGCCGGAGCCAAAGCATTACATCGCCTGCTCACACTCCAGGGCGACGTAATGATCTACACATGGGTTCAAGTGCGCAGCAGATATGAAAGAAATGCATTGTTTTTGCTCCCGGTTAGGGCACATTAAAACTGATTTGGGAGGAGGGGGGAGTTTCTCAGAAGTCACTGAAAACACATGGTACGCAA